CATACCTTTCTCTGATGTTACCATGGAACCATGTGGAACCATGGCGTACCATTTTGAAGCCTCATTTGTTGTAGGCTATATACCTACAAGGCTCTTGATCAACTCTGAGACGTGCGAATTCAAACCCAATGAGAATGGGGGGTTATGATCATGGGGGATTCGCCCATGATCTAATGGTGGCTTGTGGTGTTTCATGGCCGGATTTATATAAGCTATAATTATATAACCTATATATAATCTATAAATATAAAATCTATATGTGATCTATATGTATGATCTACATATATATATATAGAAACTAAAAGCCAAACTGTGTTTTGTATGTATAATCCATATAATATATAACCTATATATATATATACACACTAATATATATATATATATGTATATGTATATATCATGGGATATTAGTAGTGGAATCTTGGTGAAGACCCTCCAGTGTCAAAGTCGAAAGTCTCCAGGCCATAGAGCTGGCCGGTCTCCACCCCACCCATAGAGCTGACCATGCGAGTGTACCATGAAAAACCAGCATGTTAATATATCTCATATATATATATAGTTGATATAGTTATATATAAATTTCATGTGTATATATATATACAATATATATATATATATACTATATATATATACTATATATATATACTATATATATATACACGTATATATTAGGTAAATCATCGAACAAAATGGGCCATGGCGGCCTTGGTTTCATCACGTTTCATTCATTTTCCAGGGGTTGGAGTGGAGGGGAACTCCCACCTTGGTGGCACGCATGGTCTTCATCTTGTTGCACTGGAGGATCAGCGTCAGATCCTCAGAGCTTCAGCAGGGGATGGAAAACATAGCACCCAAAAAAACGGTGATGACTTGGGGATGGTACCCTCTGGTAATTTAACATAGCTATTGAAAATTGCCATTTATAGTGGATTTTCCCATTAAAAATGGTGATTTTCCATTGCTATGTTAGTTTACCAGAGGGTAAACCATGGCGGCTTGCCATGCTTTACCACATTCAAACCCTTTCGCCCATTCAGCACCTGACCTTTGGTTGATCATTGTTGGTCAAGAACATCTCCAAAGAAAAAATATCTACTTTTGGCCGGTAGAACCGTCGCAAAAAAAAAAAGGGCCCTTTTGGCCCAGTTCGCGTAAATCGCCATGGCTCCAGCCATCCATCTTTGTTTTCAGCGATCTTTTCATGAAAGAACTTGTCGTACTTCAGGTTCTCATCACTCAGGTAGTATTCCACCTGCCGATTACCGGGGATATCCCGGGATCAAGCTACCACTTGCCACACCGCGATATTACGGGCATTCTGGAGCGAAATCAGAGCCACAAACCATGGGTCAAAACGCTTAGTTGTCGCCATGCGCATCCACATCCCCAAACGGAAACTATCACTCCCAAATATGAAGCAACTCCCTAAAAATCTAAAGGATGGTCCCCCCGAATCCGTCCGTCCCCACTCTCCCTATGAATAGTGGCAATTTGTTGTGGTCTGCCTTGGGCTATCCCCCTACTTCGAGTGGATGGTGAACGTGTTGGCTCTTGGCTCGTGGCCTTTGGCTCTATGCCAACAACCAACAACCAACAACCAACAATCAATGGATTGGTTTAGTCGGGAAAATCGATTCACCGGAAACCATCCGATTTTACCATTTTTCATCATGGGGCTTTCCGGCTTTCCGGCTTCAATTTGTCCGTTCCCAATCCATTGAAGCCAACATCCGCCTGCTTCCGCACCACTGCACTGTCGGGTGGGGTGGGCTTTAGGCGCTTGGACTCTTCCGTGCCCGTCTCATCCTCCGATCCCATGAGGTGGACAAAGGACAGCGGTCAGTTCAACTTTGGGGGTGCTACCTATAAAAATGGGTACAGTGTGCATGGGAGAAAAAAAAAATATATATATATACATACATACATAATCATGTTTATATATATACGCACAGTTTATACTCTTAAATGCTGTCATTATTCTGTGGCCATGGCCAATCTTGGATACGCACCTGACGTTTCGAAAAGCATCCGAAAGAATTAATCAACAAAACTGGAGGTTTATGGAACCATCGAAATGTTTGAATTGACCAGATTGACCATGAAAAAATTGGAATGTGACCATGAAAAATGGGAATGTAACCGGTCATAGTGCCAGGTATCATGGGGTTTGTCTTCGCAAAAGATGTGGATTCCTGCCGTTGTGGGCTTGGGGATTTAGCCGTCAGATTAAGACTAAACCTTAAAGATGAATCAACTGTTCAATAACCATCAGGAATCCAGAAATTGTCGTCTAAAACCAAGCTCCACAAAAACTCAGGCATTTTAAGAACAATTTGATAATGAAATCGAATGAAATTGATGATGGAATGATTCACAAGCAAGGGGATATACTGGGTTATTATGGGTCAAACCAGTATTTCACCCTGATATAACTAGGAGATCTTCGGGCTATCATGGGGATATACGAATGATACGAGTTCATTTGCAAGAAACAGGCTCTGGCAGGTACATAGACTGTGATTGAATCCACCAACCAAAAGGGATGGCAATCCCATGGTTCTCTCATAGTCAGCTTGAAACAACAATGACAATTGTTGGACCCCCACATTCAATAGGAAAGAATGATGGTTTGGAACATCCTTGAAGCAACAAACAGCGAACAAACCAAGGATCACACAGGGACAATAGAAATCCATGGGTTTCAGTGGAAAACATTGGGGATTCCGCACCACCCTTGCCAGCTTGCCAGCCACCACCAGTATCAACACATTGGGGGAATGATGTAAGGCCTACGGCATTGGTTGATACACCCATTTCCACCCATATTCTGCCGCTTAGATTTTTGTTGGGCCCCCACATTCAACTTCTTCGGGGAGTATGTAGAGATAAACCAAGATTGTTGCCTACATATCCTCATCCCCATCCCCCCACGGACAAATAAACAATCCCATCTAAAGTATCCATGACAGATTTATAGAATTTTAATATATATATATATATATCATTATATAATCGCTCTCAAAATCTGGGAAGTCATCTGGAATCTAGGCTATTCTTCAAGTGATTCATCCTTCAAAAGTTGAATTTGTCGCAATTCCACGGATGTTTTCCTTGAAACTTCTGGTGAAAATGTCGATGTTGACACCAGTCGTTGGAATCCGCGGGCCTTTCGCTTCTCGCCCACCTTCGGCTCTTCCTTCTTCTCAGCCTCAGTGTGCAAACATTTTGCTGGTGTTCACCAACTTAAAGTAGTTTGTAAATTGTTTCAAGCGACGAAAAGTTGGAAAAGGATCCGGAAAATAAAAAACATGAAGGGAATGTGCCATGAAAAATGAAGATGTTCCATGTTTTAGGCATTGCGATCAAGAACAGGGATTGGTTCAACGAAAGCGGTGTCACTGGCCCGCTGGAAAATCTGCCAGACACCCTACTCTCCTGTTGCTCTGACAAAGAACCTCTTTTAGGTCACCACTCGTGCAAAATCTCTAGCCACCGGCTTGACATTGGAGGCAAAATTCTCCATAAGACCAAGAATCATCTCTGATTCTTAAGTACCCTCTGGTTATTTAACATAGCTATGGGAAATTGCCCATTTATAGGTGATAAAATGACTATTTACAGACAGAGCTATAAAATGGTGATTTTCCAGTTCGCAAACAGCATCCGGGCAGATGTTCCGGGAAAAATCTGTCTAGTGAATGGCTCCCAGCCAGGGGCATACCTTCAAACGAGTGAATATGCTTGATGCTTGATATGCTTCTCCAAAGCAAGGATAAAGATCTCTGAGCAACCCCCACAAAGACAAGAGGTATATTAAAGTTGTTCTATCTCTTGGATGTTTCTATCATCCTCCAATGTTATTTGTTGGTCAAGATTGACACTTCAACCATTCAATCCAAGCCCATCGATCCCATCCGAAACTAGTTCGTTTCGGACCTCTGCCATGAACTTTCGCCTCGTCAAGGGAAAGAAACCATCAGGGAAAACCCCACTGATTGGAAGAAAATCAGCATTTGCGTTGGTTGAATCACGATTTGTGTTGGTTAAATCACGTTAAATCACTATTCTTGTTGGTCCCAGATTTTCCCTTGATGCAATTCGTAAATGAGATTATCTGGGCATGCCTCCAACTGGTCTCAAAAACATACAAAAGTACATCATCAAAATAGCTGGGTGTACCTTTTCCATCTATCTTTCTTGGCACTTCTGTCATGGGACCAGACCAGTTAGATTTACACAAAATGATCTAGCAAGAACAAACAAAACTGCAAAAGGAAAAGTTTATGTGCAAATGCCCATGTCTATCTATACATATAGATATATATATATATATATACGTGTGTGTGTGCATATGTATATATATATATACATATAGATAGAATAAATTTATAGAAATATATGTATTGTACATGAGTGTGTGTGTGTGTGTCCAAAATTGAAGTGGATGATTTAGGGGCACCCCCCAATACGATTGGTTAAATTAAACCCTTTTTATCTTTGGGAGGGCACTATCATCCATATAACATGTGGAACGCAATTTTTTGTCCCTCGGAGTGCTACGGATTCTCGAGCCGTCTCCAAGGGCTTGCTGGGCTAAGGAACAGTTGCTGTAGTCGCTTGCTGGGCATGGGCGGTGGCAAAACTTGTCCCAGTCGGGTTCCATCAAAAATGGGCTTGGAGGATCCTGTGAATTTGACCCAATCACCACTACACAGGACCTGTGCGGACCTGTAGGGACCATGGGACCACTATTTGCCATCTGGAACGACAAAAAACAAAGATCCCGTTCAGATACCGAAAAAACACCAGGCAGGATCCCCCAAAACGCCTGAGCTTTGGCAGCTGCCGACATTTCGCGTCTGGAATTTGGCAGTGTCCGCAAGTTCGAAGGCGTTATATTCTTTTCAGTTGAACCCTGTCGCACTCAAAGTTGGGTGCAGAAAAACGGACTGTCAGGAGAGCTCTAAGAGCAGCCGTCTCTGCAAAAAGTTGGAGGCCTCCAAGTTGGGGACCCAGAAACATACGGAAATCACCCCCCAAGCTTAACCTGGAACCCAGTTGAGCCAGATCTAGTAGTACGTGGCGGATGTGACCGTGGGGGACCCCATGTATCAGGTTCCATGTTAAGTTTAAGGGGTCTGCAAATGAACATCAGCAGGGTCCCCAAGTTCGAAGTTGGCGACGTGGCCCTGTACAGCCACCACACTCAGCCCATCGACTTGAATTAGGCATGTACAGCAGTTGATGCACCGCTGGTCGCTAAACTTCCCGATATCTAGACTTGGGGGATGTAACAATGTTGCTTGATTATGCTTGATTTGCAAGCGATAATCTTACAGAAACATCTTTGGAAAACAACGGCGATGGCCATAACTAAGCCCCAAGTTATGCCCATGCCATGCCACCCCAGGCAGGTCATCACAAGTTGTCATCCATGATCAACTTCCAGCGACCAGCCATGCACAAAAAAACCTGAAGGACAGTGGGTCCCCACTTCTGTATGGCACTTCATGCCGTAAGCGCTCGCCATGCTATGTCTGAAAATGGAGCCCTAAAAAGGGAATATGCCATGAAATTCCAGAGTCGAAAATTTCAGACATATGTCTTCTCTCAAGCCGCTAAGCCCCTGCAAGGTGGCACTGGGAAGTGGTGCGTAAAATGGCTTCCACTGCCCCCTTGGCACCACTGGCGCAGCAGAGCTTCTGACTCATCTGCATCGCAGCACCTGACATGTGACACCAACGATGGGGATCGAGAGGGAGAACTTGTGAAAACTAACATGAAAGATCATGAAAATGCATGTCTGAGTTCCATGGTAAATTCTGAGTTGTGAACACCATCTCTGTCGCAACTCCCTTTTTTCCTAGACACTGCGTCGTGTACACATTCTTGATGTGCACACTTTTATGTTGGGATGGAGTGTCTGCGGTCTCTGGCGCCACCGTTTCTGTTGGTTAGAAACCCTGTCCTTGATGCTCAGACTCCCATTGGAACTACCAGCCAGCATACCCATCTTTGATCTCCTTAACCCCCCTTCTGTTCACATGGCCGATGCAAAATGCCCGCGAAACTTGGTTGGTTAAAAAAACTAATTGGAGGAGGGAAAAAAAACTGTCAACTTTTGAAGACTGACACTAAAAATCATCCCCTGGAAGTTTTCCACCAGCCAACTTCTCCCCTTTACATCACCCAGAAATCCTCCCCGGGTTCTGGTTCAGGCACAGTGATAGGACGGCTCCATCAGCAGACCGCGCACCGCCTTCCGCAAGCGCTCCGCGCTGAGCGTCTGCAGAGGGTAGCGAAAGGAGAAGCCACAACGGAGGCTGGCGATCGCATCGCTGTTGTAGGGCTGGTCCCCAAACCTGGGGTTTTGGGGGAAAGACGGGGAAAGTGAGATTTCCAATGGGGATTTAAGCCATTTAAGCAACCAAAAATTGGGATCCCCGGATTTTTCCGTCAGATTTCACCAACTCAAGCCTTCGAAAATGATGATTGGATTGGTTCAACGGAACGTCTACAGTTGAAACCGCTGAAGCCCTGTTTGCTTGACCATGAGGGGGCAAAGCTGCCAGTGCCACCAAGTCGGAGAACATTTTGATGACCGGGACCTAAATCTTCCCATGCCCTCCCCATAGGCTGCCATAGGGGCATGGGTATCACTGCCATGGGCACGGCAAATGCCAAAGCTTCATGGATGCTGTTGTTCCCCCCATGCGTTATAAAGGCACGACAGCGCTTCAACCTGGAAATCTGGAGCGGCTGGTTCAATGGGCTCAGGATGGCTCAGGGCTGTAAGAATGATGATGTGTTTTCAATGCTAGATTACACTCCAGGAACGTGATAGTGTTAGGTCAAGAGTGCTGATGAATTTCTTGAAGTGGCAAGCCAGTAGGATTGCCTGGGGAGAGCCCCAAGCCATACTGCTCTGCAGCACCGAGGTACACGTCCAACTGAGGTACCGTCTGACGAATGATGAAGTTGCTCGGAGCTTCCTTGCCCCGTGCAAGCAGGTTTCTTGACCAAGTTTTTGCAGTTTGTTCACCCCAGTGTTTGGGGTTCAAAAATAACTTACTCTCTTGTAATCAAAGATAGCTCGCCGGAAAACCCCTTAGATAAATGCAGGTTTTAATGAGGGAAATCATCTATAAATGAGGGTTTTTCATTGCCATGTTTGATATTTGTCATCCTATTTCTTGAAGTTCTAACCGCTGGCTTTCTAGGGGAAGCTCTTAGAGGGTGGCTTCACAGTCGAGTTGTCCTTCCGCTTCGTCCAATTTACCATCATCCAATTCCGGGAAGCCGGGAAGCCATCAAATTACCAGCAGGGAGGTGGTCAACAATAGTCAACATTCGGTATCTTTGGGCTCGGTTTCTTTGAAAATTGGGGACCCTAAATTTGATGGTCTATCATTCATTTCTAGTGAAATTACAATTTTGGTGGTATCCCCCTTTTTGGACAAAGCCCAATAAGAGAAAAATGGTTAAATCGCCATTCTCCGAATGTATTCATGGTTAAATCCCATAAAGCCCGTATGCGCAAATGGATGCAAATCGGGAGATGTTCTTTAAAACCACTATTAAGAAGTTGGGAACATCTATAAATTCCAAGATTCCAAAAATTGTGGGTATATCATGGTATATAAGTTATATATATATATATGTGTGTGTGTATAATTACATCATATAATTATATATATATATTTTAAATTACATATATATATATATATATGATATATGCCACACAGGCCTCTTAAGTTAACCTACAAACAGCTCACCAACTGACAAGTTTCCGGCAAGGCATCCATGGCGTCTGCCTTGGGCCCCACCACCATCAGCACCAGCAGATCCTCCTCGTCAGCAAGGGCTTCGAAGGCGATGCGCCAGACCTCCGGTGGATGTTTAAAAAGGCTTTGATGGGATCCTTATGGGGATTTAATGGGGATTTCATAGGATTTAATGGGGATTTCATAGGATTTAATGGGGATTTCATAGGATTTAATGGGGATGTAATGTTTTTTTTTGCAATTTGATGCAATTTCTATGGGATTTAAATGGATTTAATGTGATTTGCCCAACCAATTATGAAGATATCATTCTATCCAGTGGTTAGGAGAGATTTTGTGATGACTGTATGAAACATCCAACAGTTTTCACACCTAGGTGTCGCCTGGGACTAAGCCGAAGAGCCGAAAAATCCAGTGGTTAGGAGGGAGCCAATCGGAGCTAGGGGTGTTCATATGCCCTATAAAATGGGGAGCCAAGGAGCTACTCAAGGTTTTCCAACAACATGATAGCCTATGCGCCAGTAGTTATTTGTTTGTTTACTTCTTGTTTTCTTTTGCTGCTTATGTTTCTCTATGTATCTATTGATCTGGTGTGCTCGATTGTTTATTTGCTTGCTTGTTTGATTCTTGTTTGCTGGTTTTTGCACCGCATTAATTTACGCTTTCAAATGCTTATTCTATGGTTTATATATCTTTAGAAATTTAGACAGTTACCGAGGGGAAAAGATGTTTGTTGAGGAGACTTCGGGCTTGGAAAACCAGGAAAACGGTGCATTTCGAACAATTTCGTCTTGTGGTTGTGGTATGATCTGGCACAAACTTGTGAAGGCCAGGTTTTTAATGATCAGAAATTCAGGCTGGCTGATCCCCATTACCATCTGTAAATCACATATTTTCGATTGCCATTTACCAAAGGGCAATCTGGGGTCTTCCAACTCCATCCGTTCGAAAAATAGGAGATACCCTCTGGTAAACTAACATAGCTATGGAAAATCACCATTTTAAATGGGAAAATCCACTATTTCTATGGTAATTTTCAATAGCTATTTTGACATAACCAGAGGGTAATTGAAGCAAGCAGCCCGTTGGAGGAAGTCCTTTCCAGTGCAGTTCTGAATGCCGTTGTGAGCCGCCAAAGGTCCGAAGCTTCCAGACCATTGGTTTCCGGTCGCTACGGTGCCCATAGACAGAAACACCAAACCTCGAACGCGGTCTGGGTGACACATTCGATGCCAGGGCCTACCCGGCCTACCCTAAGATGGAAACTCAAAAAATGAATGAAAAAGATGATTGTGCTGCTGAACATGTGGTTTTTTCAGGTACTTTGTGGCTGTCTTCATCCCCATGACATCCTGCGGCCCCCTTCTTGCGGCCGAAAAAACGTTTCGACTGCGCGATGGCTTGGTCGATCACATCCCAGGGCACCGGGGCTTCGGCGCTGTCCAGCGCGGCATGGGCCACCCGCTTCAACTTGGTGTTCACCAAAGGTCCCACGCAGTGAAAGGGGAAGTTTCCGAAGCGCTTCAACTGGGGGCCTGAAACGCTGAAATGGGGGATGGCCAGGGATCAGCTGGGCCCACCTACTCCCCCCGCGTTCGTATTAAAACCCCCCCCAAAAAAAAAACAAAAAAAACGTGGTTTTAAAGAGGATTTACACATATTTAGACCATAGAATAGAGGTGTTTAATATGAACAGGGGGTGAGGTTATATAATCTTGATCCAATCCATCTTGATAATGTGTGATAAAGCCAATGCCATAGTCATCATCGACCATCCCATCTATGGTGGCATCCATGGCCGAGACGCTCAGCCGCGGTGGCGCAAAGAACTCAGGGATGGTGGTCACTAAGTTCAAATCCGGGGAATAGAACTCCTATTCGGGGCGTTCAGCTGGGCAATTTCTGACATGACATCCGGGATATATGGGATACGCCAAGTCCTTTTTTTGGGCAGTTGGAAGAACTCAGCTTAGCCAACCGTGGAATCCCTCGGTGGATTGCGGGATATTCCTCCATTGAAATTGCGAAGGCACCCATCAACTCCCCGCGGGTCACCAATGTCCCGAACGAAAAGAGGAAGCCACCCATAGCAAAGAAAATGGATCCTTTCCAATCTCCCTTGACAAACCGGTGCAAAGTTGCTGACACCAGCCATTTTTGAGATGCGGGCGGCGACCAGCCATCGTTTTGACCGTTTTGAAAACGCTGTTTCGCTTCTGACGCAAAAACTGTGAACCCAGAAGCGGGGTTCAAATGGCGGGAAAAAGCAACAAAAATACCATCTGGTTATTCAACATCGCCATGGAAAATGGCCTGGGTTAGTAGGTAAATGATGTACAGTACTCTACAATACTCTACATGACATTGGGGGTTCATCCATGTTTTCCTGCAACAATCCGACTCACCAGACTGCGTCCGGGGCTCCATCAAAGTGCCCTGAGCGAAGACATCAAAGTCCTTAGCCGCCGCCGTCGATAGGGCCATCCTACGATGCGCCCATTAGACTTCCGCAATGGTGACGTGATGTGTGTTGCAGGCATTTACAAGCTACTGGCTACACAGGAATCAAAATCTCAATCAGTAGTGACTAAACACCTTATCTTTGGCTACTTACATTGTGAATCTGGACTAGGTAATCACAATGCATGCAAGAAAAATGTCAGTTTGCCATGTAATTCCGGAATTTGTCAGACGTATGAGATTGGTTTTAAAATGGTCGATCACCTGCCGGTGGTTGTGACTGTGGTGTTGATTGTGCCCATATACGGCCCATATACCACTGCTGTCCTTCGTGTTTTTTCTTACCATTGCTCTTACATTGCTCATATCATCGTTGTTAGGACTGTTGTTATCACTGTTGGATTCATGTGTGATCATTTGTGTTATCATTGCTGTTGTCATTGTCATTATCATTGTTGTCATCCAAAAATTGGGATCTACACTGACGAATACCTACACTGCCCACAGATCATATCCTTCTCATGGGTCTTATCCTTGTGATCCCTTTACCCCAACATTAACTACAAAAAAAATGTCTGGTTTAACTAGAACAGCTTGGAACAACCCTTTAAAAAAACATCCCAAATCAGTGATAAATCCCTCAGTTGGGATAGGATTTCTATCATCTCAGAGAGTTCAACAGCTGAAGGCGAGCAGGGCCCTGCTTTATGATAAACCTGCCATAAACAAGCCCAAGATGACAATTTTTACGGGTGCTATGTTTACCATCCCAAGTCATGCTAAGTTTATGGCAGCCAGGGTTTCCCACATGACCAGGATGGTTTTTTGATCCTCAGTTTTCTTGATCAAATCATCTGAAACAATCTGAAAAATGTCTCACTTGGGGAGGGATTTCTATACCCTCTGGTAATTTAACATAGCTATTGAACATGGCCCAGTCGAAATAGTGGATTTTCCCATTCAAAATGCTGGATCTTTCCAGTTCGTTATGTGGCTGTTTACCAGAGGGTAAGATGCTTTTCCATAGAAATAGTGATTTTCCCATTAAAAATGGTGATTTTCCATAGTTATGTTAGTTTACCAGAGGCTACTCATTGGGTTCCCGCCATGAACGGCGCCGAAGCCACGTACTGCTGGATGATCTCCCGCCGTGCCCGACGCACCACGGCATGGCGTTCCCATTCCTCGATCCTTGGGGAACCCCGAAGCTGGGGAGACCCTGGGGAGTTTCCCCAAGCTTTGGATGATTTCAACATATGGGGATGGGTCAAAACCCTGGTACCTTTTGTTCACCCCAAAATAGCTGGGATTTATGGATGTTCAAGCCACTAAAAATGTATCTATAGGTATTGACCCATACCCATATTTCAACCAACCAAAAAGTGGTTGGAAACATTCGGAAAATTCATGGGACTTGAGGATTTGAGGTGAATTGTTGGACCTGGTTTTTGGACCTGGTGATGTTCACGAATTGAGGAGAGATGAGCCACCAACAAGGCAGGGCGATGACTTTCAGGACTTTAACCAAAACTGGAGATTGAATGATTCGAGCAAGAAGAATCTAGGACTTGAATGGATTTGAATTGAATGCACCAACAACAACTGGGGAGTTGGTGCAAGAAAACCTGAGACTTCGACATGATTCAAAGCCACAAGACATGGGGGATCTTGCATGTCAAGCAACAAAAAACTGGTGTGTTAACCAACACAAAATCGACATTGCCGAACCAAATCTGGGAGTTTCGCCAAGAAATGAGGGTTGGGTTCGCCAAAACTGGGAATTAACCACCATAAAAAGTGGCTCGATGTTCGCTGAAAATTGGGCTGCTGCGGTTTCACCCTGGCCGGTCTCCCAATCTCTGTTCACACAGCAACACCTTTCTCCACTCTATATGTTTTGCTACCCTCACTTGAAGTCAACTTAAGTCCCAATTTCTGCTGGCATTGGAAAAAGCTGAAAAAGACACTCTTGCCGCAGATAATTTGGCATTTAAAAAACTACCCGTGACTACCTATTAAACATGCCATTTGTCCATGGCAAACTGTTGAATTACCAGAGAGCACCCCCATTCTGTTTCCAGTGTTCCCCAGGTATAACCCCACAAAATGGCAATCAACATGCCATGTGTTTGTTTCAAACTTCTCTTTTGTTGGTTCAACCACCATTCTTGTAGCTAAGGGGGTTCCAAGATCAGTTTTTACGCTTAAATCACCACTATTCAATTCATCATTGCTGATGGTTAAATCCCGTATGTTGACGCTTGAATCCCCTATTTTGATGGTTAAATTCCATCTGTTGGATACTTAAATTCCAATATTTTGATGGTTCATACGGTTGGTCAAATCCCCTATCTTGTTGGTTATATAGATCCCCATCCTCTCTCCCTTCGTGGCTTGCAAGTCAAGCCTCAACTGCGGTGGGTGCGGCATGGTTCCGGGCCCCGGATGCGTCACAGTGCTGACGGCCGGAATGCCCAAGACGTGGGCTGCCACTAGGCCGTGCGGCAGGAAGGGGTCGTAGACGATGACACCTGGGAAATGGTGAGTCGACAACCAAGACCTTTGGGAGTTCTGAGGAGTTCTGGACAAAATGGATGAGTTCGCTGATTTAAGCATCGACAATAGGGATTTAGGGTACCCCGGAATCCAATGCCGAAAATTCATCACGATGATCCCTAGTAAAATCTCAACATTTTTGGATATTTTTCCACATGTCCAGATACACCATAATGGGATTTCATGGGGATTTAACATGATTTAACCATGAGCACTAGGGAGATCATCTTGGTGATTTGATCGGCACCAATTTGCTGCAAAATTTGGAGGTTTCAACATCTGTAGCTGAGGTGTTTTCTTCTGATTCAACTTTCTTTTGGCCATTTTTAGTTCGGTACTCAAAAAGGTGTGGTTCAAAAAAGTCGAAGCCTGAATGATTTCTGGGAGTTGGATCATCGGATCATCTCGGGGCGGATCATCGGATCATATCGGATCCATCCGCACGGGAACGACGCTTCAAATGGACGTTGATGTTTAGATGTTGAGCCATCGCAGGATCTGAAAACTTAATGTGTCTTCAAGTTAAGGGTTTAAGATGTTTAAGCCAGTTTTTTGCAACAAGGACCGATATTCAGGCATTGTGGAACTTTGGTGTCTTTGGTCCCTCCAATGGTCATAGTTTCAGCCACACTTGCCTTCTGCCTTGGTGTCCTGAAGGTGAAGGTTGCTCCAACACTGTTCTAACATCCACGGGGGGAAAATGGGTAGATACACCTGGTAAACTAATTAACCTAGCTAGGGATAATTGCCACTTTTAATTGGTAAATCAACTATATCTATGAATGGCCATTTTCCAGTTTGTCTCCTCTTTTTGTTGGCTTTCGTAAAGGACCTGCTTTGCAGGTACCTCTCGGACACTGCGGTTTCCCAATGAACCGATCATGAACCCCCTGCAGGCCAAGCTCTTCGGCTGTTTCCTTCCTTTGTTGAGCCTCTTTTGCGTCTCGTGATCTTCTGTGGAAAAACCACGATCCAGTTACACTTCCGAAATTTCATGACAACATATGACAACTGGATCTCCAGTTACAACTGACAACTGGAGTTACACTAAGTTGCAACTTTCAAGTCTTTGCTCCAAAGAACTTGGCCAGGAGCTGGGATGCTCAACTGCGTTGCATCAAGTTGGCATGAGTCCAAATAAGGAACCGCACACATTGCCCAAAAGGGACGAGTTTTGGGAATCCTGCGGGTTTCGAATCCCTCTGGCTCAAACCCAAACACCTGAAAGCTCTTCACACCAGTGAGCACCGCTGGGCTAAAGCATTTCATATCATCTATCCGGCCGCAGGAGGGCTGGCCGGAAGCAAGCCGGCACTTTGGCTCGTGGCATTCATGGCACTCAGGGCATTCATGGCATGGCTCGGGTAGGCCACTTGGAGCTGCCGGAGGAGCCGCTCCCGCAGCGCTTGCTTGGACTCATCGAAGTAGCACTGCTAGCACTGCTGCACCCGGGTCAGTTTGTCCTTGATGAACAACTCCTTGCGGTCAGCGAGTTCCCCAGTTCCTGAAGCATCTCATAGGGTTCCGCCTGAATCCTGCGCTCGAATCACCTCAGATGGTTTCAAGGGGGCACCTGCGCCAAGGCGAAAAAACACCCCCTTTGGACGGCAGTTGAAGGGACCAATTTATTTGGTCAAATGAGTTTCAGGCTATGTCTGAACGCCGCGTAGCCCAACATCTTCATTTCTTCATCATAGTAACGGTTTTAGGATACTAAGATACTAAATGAGTGTGACAAGCGGTCACCCCTTTCCCTGCCTCAGAGTCTGCCTGCAGGATTATCAGATTTCGCATCGGTGTAGGCCTGAACGCCATCCACGTGTGGTGGCTGACCTCAAGGCTGCTCAATGGTGACACTTGGTTGCCTGAAACCTCCACTTTTTTGGTTAGAATCTGATGCTTAAATCCCCATGTTTCATGGCTAGGCCAGGCTAAATCAAACAATTGTTCATGATTGATTCATGTTGATTCTTCAATCCTATTGCCAAAACAATTATATAACAGAAAATGAGACAAGAATAAACATGTTTTGCTGGTCGAATTTTAAATGTTCTATTTTGAGCCTCTAAGCCACCTGGTTTCTGAAAGATGCCGCGGGCCACAAGCCCTTCCAAAGCCATGGCTCCTGTGCCTCCTGCCTTGCCCTCTGAAGGCCATCGGCCACGAGCGTGGGCTCAGGTGACTGCTTGAGCAACAAAGAATTTCGGTTGCCCAGGCTTGCCCAGAAATGGGGCTCCCAAGTTATGCCCAGGCTAATGGGGAAAATGCGGATTTGAACCAGTGGATTTAGGATTTGAATTCTTCAAACAAACTTATGTGAACCCTGAAGTTGCGGATGACTTCGGATCCTTTATGGAAGGTCAAAAACCCCAGAACTTCCATTAAAGTCATTAAAACTGAGAATTTTGGGGATTCACAGTGATTCACATCCAAAAAAAAAAACTCACCTGGGGACAGCCTGGGGAAACAAAAACTCCGCAGCCTGGGGCTGGCTGCATCGCGCGGAGCTCCGAGATGAAGTCCGGGAGGATCCAGGCGGCCACCGCTAAAGTGCAGAGGGGGAACTCGAACTCCTCCGCTAAAGTGAGAGGTCCAGAGTCAGATAAAGAGAACATCCAGATCACTGTGTCACTCACTTCGATGAGTTCATGAAATTCATGAAATTCATGAATCATGAAAATTTATACCTAGCTGCTAAATATGTTTCAACAAGATTGGATCATATTAGATAATGACAAAAGAATGGTATCCTCCAATGAATGGTATGAGTGAATAATTATCCATAATGATCCTGGTATTAAATAGGAAATAATATACATATCATAGGAATATCATGGGAATATCGTGGGATATAATTATTTTATTAGTAGATACTATGATAATGATGAATAATGGATAATAGAGTTTTACTACGGTAATGATTGATAATTGAATTATACTATGATAAATGGTGTTTTCCAGTGAACAGTTTTTGTAGTGTTTAATGGTGTATAGTGATTAATAATGGTCAATAATTGTCACAGATACTTGAGTACATCTTAGTCATACTGTGATAAATTTTGAATGATGGATAGTGAAAACCAAAAATGGTGAATCAAGTAAAGATTAATATCGATAGAGTAAGTAATAAATAATAATTCATGAATCATAGATAATAATCAACGGTCAATAGATCATGGATAATGGATCATTGTTAAAATATTGTAAATATTATAGATATAGACTATACGTATATATATATATATAGACAGTTCCACATTGTAACTAGACCCACCCTCCACCCTTGATCTCGATTTTTTCAAGTGGTGGATTTTGTGGCCTCTGTTTGCCACAGCTTCTGGGAGTCTTTGGCTGGCTAACCAATCTTGGAGTCTTTGGTTGACTGGTCAGCTCAGCCATGTCCAGTGCCATCAGTTGCGCCGGACTCACTCCCTGAATTAATAATGTACAGAAAAAGGTGTGGGTGGGTGGGAAATTAATCCCAGGTCAGGACCTGCTGGAGCCAGTACTGCGGGTCCCTCCCTCCACCCTAAAACATGTTGCACTGTCTAGCGTTTTGCTAGCAAAACTTCAAGACAGTTCCACATTGTAACTAGACCCACCCTCCACCCTTGATCTCGATTTTTTCAAGTGGTGGATTTTGTGGCCTCTGTTTGCCACAGCTTCTGGGAGTCTTTGGCTGGCTAACCAATCTTGGAGTCTTTGGTTGACTGGTCAGCTCAGCCATGTCCAGTGCCATCAGTTGCGCCGGACTCACTCCCTTTCTGACATCGTCGCGCTGGGGTCTCATTGATAGGCACTTCTTGCACTTCAGCACGGCCATGGATGGGTCAGTCACAAAGGCTATGTGGGCGGACTTTCTCGCAAAAGTCCATCCACACGCAGTACTCCACTCTGCCATCGGGATGCTCCAGTCAGCCGCGGAGATCAAGTGGATGGGATTGTTGCCCCTCCTGTCGGTCGACCTTACCCACAGCTCCACAGGTTTAGGTCTGCCACCAACATTCGTGACACCTGTCTTGGGCTCTGGGTTTTTCTTTTCCTTCACGACGGAGGTCACCACCACGTTCCTGCTACTTGTGGACGCAGTGCTTGTTGCACTTGGAATCCTTTGATTCGCTGGCACAGACTCCAAGGCTTCCTCTGCGTAAGACAAAACCACGGATGACCTCCAACGTCCCAAGTAGGCCAGGTCTTTGATGTCCATACCCTTCTTCACGTACGCCATCTCTCCCGATCTCCGAGCGGAGTGACCCGACATGTTGGGGTCCAAAACAGTCTTCCAACTGTTCACCATCTCCGTTTTGGTAGGGAGCATCCCTTCCTTGTTCGGGAACATGGGCTCCTCAGAGTGTACTCCAACTTGTCCACGTCGTTGTCGCAGTCCTTGCAGCTGAGCCCAAGCGCAGCCTGTCCAGCAAGGTTTCTCACCGCAGCACTGTAGTGTTCTGGCGACACCCAAGCCCATTTGGTCACCCTTCGAACGGGGGATGAACAGCCTTACCGTTTTGCGACCCACGTTCCAAGACACATGCCCCCATTTGACGCGAGACAATTCGATCTCCCGCAGCATCCATGTCACTCCCCAGGCATATGCCCAGATTGCCAAGGGGACTGGCAAGGCTTCGGCTCCAGGGATGTCCTGCAAAAAGACCTTGTCAAGCGGCACCTCAGGCGCCTTCCTTATCGGTCCCCTATCTCTTGAAACCGATTTCTTGCACAGCTGGAAGGTTCGTCCCAGCCATGCTTCCATTGGGAACCCGGCCTCCACGTGCATCAATTTGAGCTCGTTCAGATACTGGTCCGCCGACGCCAATTTTGCCGCCTTCAAGGCAGCGGCCACCATTTCCACTGTCTGCTTAGCCAGTGGCAACGGCTCCCTGCCCCCTGTCACAGTGAGGGCCAACTTGGTGATCTCGGCCCTTCGAATCCTCTTCACCGAGAGGGTTCCTTTTGCCCAGAAGCCCTGATTCAGCTCACCGATCGCCTTGTTCAACAGCAATCGGTCCGATGCCACCTCCATGGCCTTTGCGAAGGACCCTCTTTGCCGTCTTTCGGGCTCCGAACCATCGTCTGCAGGAAGGACATGACGAAAAGCCCCCTCTCCACGGGCCCTTTTCTCCATGGGAACTAAGTCTGGTGTCCCCAAACTCCAACTCCTTTTCAATGGTGGCCATGCCGATGATTTTCCCACTCCGAGGATGCTGACTTGCTCCCTTTTGCTAAGTCCATGACGACTGGCCTTGCCCTGCAAGCCATTATTTTCACCAAATCCGGACTGCCCGCCTGCCTCGGGTGTGTTGAATACACGCACTCCCTTCTCTGAGGGGTGAGGCAACGGTTTCCGTGAGAAGGGGAAACCAAATCTGAATGGCCCCGCTCCTGCTCCGTCTCGGGACAACACATTGCAGTCTGTACCCCTATGGAGGCTTTGATATTCCCCTTGGGGGCTCCGGTGGTTCTGCAGGAAGTCCTTGACTGACATAGGCTGCACGCCCCTGTGACCCTCATTGCATAGCGCGTGCCCTGCATTAGCTTGGTCAGGCACATGCCGATGATGAGACAAGAGCCTATTAGGAAAAAGGCCCAGCCCCACAGCACAAAAATGAAGACCCAGGGCCATGGCTCCTCTACGTCAGCCTGGCGTAGCGAGATGTGACTCTCCATTTTGCTTGGGCCTGACTGCGCTATCCACGACGGCAATCGGCCTCAGGACAACATCACAGCCAAACAAACATGAAGCAAGAAAATTGAAAAGCATGAAGAACATCTTGATTTCCTAAGGCCCTTCTCCCCCCCGACGTATCACCCACAGCCGACAAGGTTACCCTTGTTTTCACCGGCCACGGCCGTCAAAGGGCTTCGAAGGCCTTGATGGAAGATGTTGCTTCCGAGCCCCAAAGTCGCGGAGCTACGCCCGGAGGTGGAAGGTGTGACCGTCTGCGCGCTTCTCCATCGAAGCGATGAATCTTCAGGCCCTTCAGCTTGTGCGGGATCTCACTGGGCCGGTCGTGAGGCCTGGACAGCCAATCCGCCTCCTTGTTCAGGTATCCTGGAATGTGGTGCCCAACCAACTTCGGAATGTTGAGCACCTCCAGGCGCATGGCCAGCTCGGCCCCAATCCAGTTGATCACGGGTGAGGCACTGCTGAGCTTCGCTGCCATGGCTAAGGCCACCGTGGAGTCGGACTTGATGAGGAGGGGAATGCTCATGAGGCGCACTTTCCAAAAGCGTATCGCCAAGAGCACCGCCCAGGCCTCCAAGGCCCCTTGTGATGCCGCCTCTCCCCACGGCACTCCAAGCCACTGTGCATCCTCCTCCTTTAAGGGGATCTCCAGTGCCACCCATGGTTCGATCTGGTTCCGCGCGATGTCCACGCGACAGAGGATCGCACCAATGCCCTTCGGCGATGCGTCCGTCACAATCGCCATGTCAGGGTAGACCTCGTACAGGGGCTCCGTGCGCAGCAGCATGCCGTCCATGTTGCCGAACAGCTCCTGCAGCCAAGCCCTCGGCATCTGAAAGCGAGATACCGCGACCATGTCAGGCTTTGGCCGCTGGTCCTTGCGCTTTGCTGCCCTGCTCTCTTCAGCACCGCTGGCAGCGTCCTTCTCTGCCGATGCTACCACCGCATAGAGCATTGATACCGCCCACCTTGTGCGGGGTAGGATCCCGGCCATCCAGGACAGACGGCCTGTTGTGGCCCTCAACTCCTTCAGGCCTATCATCCCAACTCCGACCCAGTCCTTCAGCTTGCGGTGGAGCTCATTTGCCATCTTCTTGGAGATTGTGAGCCGCATCACCTCCCTGGCCAGGTCCAACTCAAAGACCACCCCAATCCAGGTGACTCGCAGGCCCCTTTCTCCTTTTCCATAGGCTACATTCACCCTGAAGGCGTATAGGGTGTAGAGCACCAGCGCCAGCGTTCTGTTTCTCCTGGGTAAGGGCCCCGCCAGCAGAAACCAGGGGTCGTCCATGTACGTCTGAAGACATCCTTCTCCTTTGATGAACAGGCTCTGCAACATCCTGGAGATCAGAGCCGACAGCCTTGCCATCAGCAATGGGGCGGCCCGGAAGCCAAACAGCAATGCCGTGTACAGGACGTATTCACCTTCATGAAGTCCAGGGCAAATGCAGTTCGACACTTCATCCAGTCGCACCGGGAAATGGCAAAACGCGTCGGCCAAGTCCGCGCCCACCATCTCCCAGTCCTTCATGAGGTTGAGGTCTTCCGGTGCCCATCCTTCCTGTTGGGCTACCATGGTGAACGCGTCATTGTTGGCCCACAGTCTTCTGGCCGCCTCCAGCACGTCAATGACCCGCGGCAGCACCAACCTCTCAGGCACCTTTGCACGCGCATTGCCACCGCTGCGCAGCATATCCACTATGACCCTGTTCTTCACCCGGCCGTCATCTTTGACCTTCTGGATGAGGGCCATCTTGCTCACCGTGCCCGTGCCGAATCTGCTCGTCAGCCACTTCTTGTCCTTCACGACGGCAAAGCCCTTCTTAACATAGCGGCCGATCTCTTCTTCCGCCGCTTCACTGAGGTCGTAGAAGCTGGCGTAGTTGCGCGTGCCCTGCAGCAAGTCCAAGGGCGGCGCATCTTCCCAGAGGTTGTCCACTTCATCCATCTCGGGGAAAATGCCGCAAGTAGGAATGCTTGCATTCATTCCCAAGGGCACCGCTTTCCTGGCCCATTCCACCACGTGGCACTCAGGGTCATTCGACGCCCTGATCCATGCCTCCCAGAGCTTGGTGTTGAGGGGGGTGTTGAACTCAAACTCCTCCTTCACCACGACATCCTCGAAGTCCTTGGCCTTGAGGATCTTCTCCAGCGTCTGTGTCCAGAGCTTCCCAATCTCTGGGTGCGGCTCACAGTTGGGTCCGCCATAAGCCTCGGATATCTTTAGGGCCTCGGGGTTCTCCTTGATGAAGTGGTTCCACGCCCTCCCGATGTCGTTGCCCACGGATTTGACCATGTGGAGCTTGTTCACCGCCAAGTCTGGGTTTCTCATGCCTCCCAGATAGAACTGGTTCTCCTTCTCCTTCCTTGCCTTCTTTGAGTTCTGGCCCGACGGCATTGAGGAGGTCGAGACATCCCCCGCTTCCCATGCCCGTTTGGCGCCCACGCCCTGCAGCGCGTCCGAGACTGGCGGCGGTGTCTTTGCCTCCCTGCTCTTCATCCAGTTCAGCTGCAACTGGCTCAGTTCTTGTTCCTTGGACTGCATCTTGTAGCGCCAGAACTCCAGTTGCAGGTTCTGCTTGAAGACCTTGACCACCAGGGCGGCGTACTTCTTCGCCAGTGTCTCTGGGTATTCAGCCGCTGCGGATGTTCTGTTCTTCCCCAGCAACGTGATGTGAGATACCCATGATGGGCACTGGCATTTCCCTGACAAGGACTCCAATCCCTGCAACCTGCCTGCCCAACGCGCAGGTTTCCACCACCGCTGCTTTCCCTCCATATGGATGCAGCTGTTGAAGTCAGCCTTCTGCGCCTCGTACTTAGTGAGGAACTCCTGCAACTCGGCCAACTCCCAAGCGGGCAAATCTGGTCCCGTTTCAGAACCGGGAGGATTTTCCAAGGTTGCGACTTCTCCCATTCTTCGCCTCCTCTGAGAGTCCAGCAGCTTGGCTGACAGCAAAGAAGACCTCACCGCCAAAACCGTGCCCCTGTCAGCTTCTGCCTGCTGTGCGGGGGTGTTGTCGGGCAGGCCATATGGCCACTGTCTAGACCTGACAGGCGGTGGTCCCCCCTGTTTGCTCCTGACCATGCTGAAGGAGCCGCATGGAAAGCCGCAATGGCTGCCATCAACCTCATCCAATTCCTCCATCAAGTCCAGGTATGGACGGTCTGCAGCAAGGTCATGTCCACCAGACAGCTTGTCAAATGACTCCACTGCCACTACGACGCCCTCTTTCCTGGCCTCTTCTTCCAGTGCCTTTTTCAAAACGTCTCGTGGCCCACTGAAAAGATGGAGGAACCTGAAGACCCGCTTTGCCTTGTACTGCGCGTAGTCCATGCCCTCCTTAAGCAACTTCAGAGCTTTCGGGTTCCATTCGCTCTCCACGATGTCCACCTCGGGGGGGTCCCAGTCCGGCGGCTCTTCATCCGCCATGCCGACTCTGAGCCACTTCACACCTGCAGTGCGGCCAAACAGACTGTCCCCGTTAGCAACGTTATCAATTCACAAATTTTACCTAACCTGCCTCACAATCAATTCAACAATTAACACAACACATGCGCCTAACCTGCCTCATGTTGCATTCAAACGTGTTCTGAGTTTCAAACCCCCTTGTCTCACTCCATCCGCCAACCCAGACTCCCCTTTTCTTCAAGGGAAACATCACAGATACGGCTTCCTAAGTCCTCAGGCATTTGACCCGAGCGAGAAGCCAGGAGTCCGGGTTCATCCCCTATGAGAGCACCCGTCGTTCCGATGCCCTGGAGAAAGACAATGCTGACATTTGTGCGCACGTTTCACTTTGCTCTTACACTCGGATCCCACTGGCACATCGGCACAAACGCCTTTGCCCTGGGCCCAAGAAAAGCATATCTCAGCTCCGGACTTGTCCTTGCTCTTGCCCTTGCCTGGACCTTTGCCTGCAGCATGTCCAGGTGAATCGCGCTGTCCCTTCAACTTGGCCAGCTCCGTTCTCTCTTCCTGCTGTCTCCTGCGTTTCGCCAATCTCTTATCTCTGTTGGACTGTCTCTTGCGGTCAGGCTCTTCCTTTGGAACAGCCAGCGCATCCGTTCCCCCTGCCAAGTGCGTCACTGCGATGGCGTCGGCAGGTGCCATAGGGGCTCCAACTCCACCTGCAACTAGCCAAGCTGAAGCTGGGTGCCTGACTTGTTCAGACCAGTAGGCCTCGTCTTTCGCAAGCACCTTGAAGCATGTAGACCATGGATCATCAGGGTCCCACTCGGGAGGTACTGCACGACGGGCTTGACTGTCAGCCACAATGCCTCTTCTAATCTTTTCTAACCGCTCAGCTCGGCCTTTGTCCTCAGCTTGTGCGATCAGTCCCCAAGCTTGCGGCCAATGCAATGTCAGCCTCTCCACAGTCTTCTCATACTGTTGAAGCGCTGCCAATGATACAATGCCTAATGAGATGGCCGCCACCTTGAAGACCCTCCACGATGCCAACCAATGTTGAAGATTCTGAGGACCTGGGAGCTCCTTCATGACGTACGTGCCGTCTCCAAGAGGTGTGTATGTTCTGAACTTCTGAGCCCTGAGCGCTCTACGTCCAAACGGGACCCAGACACTGAAATCAGTGTACGGCGCTTGTTTGAGGATCACAACCCTTTTGTAAAGTGCAGCGAGCTGTGAGTCTGTCGCCTCTTCTTCCTCTTCCGGTCCCGCGCCCATGACTGACACGTACCTTTGTGACCACTCCTGCACCTTGTCCAGGGATGCCGGCATCAGTTCCGACTCATCTGCCTGATCCACCAGCGATGCCATCTTGAGCACGTGTTCCTTGACAGCTGCGCCCTTGCTTGAAGGATCTGGTACTGCAGGAGGGGTATGTCTGGGATTGTCCCATGGTTCCTCATCGACGAAGTTGTCCTCATCGCCCCCGTTTCTGAGGTAGATGGTTTTCCTTGCAACTCGCCACATTAGCCCCACCTGCGTGGCATTGATAGGATGAAAAGGTGTCCCATCTGCCAGGGATGCAGCCGAGCAGGCACCAGCGACCACGTAGCTTGGCAAAGCAGCCAGGTGCTGGATGTTGTTGCCGGGGTCGCCCACCTGATGAATGAACCCCGTCCAGACTGGATCTGGCACACCAATCAAAGTTCTGAGCTCCTGCAGGTTGGTCAGGCCGGTCAAATCGGCAGCTCGAGGTAGCATGAGCCACGCGCGAGTTCCTAACCTGAAAAATTAATCCCAGGTCAGGACCTGCTGGAGCCAGTACTGCAGGTCCCTCCCTCCACCCTAAAACATGTTGCACTGTCTAGCGTTTTGCTAGCAAAACTTCAACATGTGTGTGCGCGTGTATATGTATGAATGTGTGCGTAGACATAGCATATTTGATTGAATCCCCCATGTTTCGTCCCGTGGGTAGAACCATGGCTTCCCGGTCTTGCGCACGTCGCAACATTCGAGGGTATGATTGAATAATCCTGTTCTTGAATGAGAAATAATAGGAATATCATGTAACAATACGGAGATATCTTTCAGGATGTACTGATCCTTGAGCCCGTAGGCACCCCCAAGCCACGGTAAAAAGGACGAATTTCCCCACCTCCGCTGGGGCATCCGGGTGCAAGTAGTGCTCCAGCATCTCCTACGGGGATGGGTTGGCCCCCTTGATGCCATAACATCACTACATAACTTAACATCGTTTCAACTCATATCATCCTCTCCCTTCGGGATGTTTCCAAGTGTGTGTGTGTGCCTGTTTTCATTCATTTATCTGTTTGTGTATTTATCTAATTATTGTTGATATAGTATGCATGTGTATATATGTATGTATATCTGTGTGTGTGTGTTTTTGCGTATATGTTTGTAATATATATATGTGTGTGTGTGAATTATATATACATGTGCGTGTATCTCTCTGTATGTGCGCATAAGTGCATATTTGCGCATTCCGCACGCGGAAAGAATGTGCAAATTGTGTGGCACAAACTTCAGGATCTCCCCTACCTACCGCTCGACTGCCACTGCTTTCCTGGCGGAGACGTGATAATCTGTAAACATCTATAAACCCATCGAAAGTTCCCCGATTTTTTCCTCATGAAATCCCAATGTTTGGTTGCTTCAACAGACCCTTCACCATTATCATTGGTCCAAATTGTCATAAATCAATATTACTCGTTGGTCGCAAATCATCACAAATCATCATAAATCATCATAGGTCATGAATAAATCATCATAATTCATCACAAATCATCATAAATCATCAATAAGTAATGAATAAATCATCATAAAGCATCATAAATCATCATAAGTCATGAATAAATAATCATAAATAATCATAAATCATCATAAATCATCATAAGTCATGAATAAATCATCATAAGTTCACAAGTCATCACAAATCATCATAAATCATCGTAATCCCACAAACTTTTGGAGAACAAAATCCCCTGGCTGCCTCCGTCATCTCGTGCGGCCGCTGCAGCGGCCGCCAGGAGGCGCCGGCGGCCTCCACCACGGAGCGGAACTGCTGAGGCAGGAAGTAGGTCACCTGCGGACGGCTGTCCCACGGAAAACCCATGGCGGACGGTTTTGTTGGGACACCCCATGGGTTGAACCACCATGAGATATGGTTTTTGTATGTTTTTGTTGAACCACCAGGTGGGATGGATTGGTTTAGTTGGGAAAATCTTCGGAAAGCCACGGGTTTTTTTCCAACAAAACCAATCCAATGAGGTGATCACTGATGGTCAGTCACCCAGAAATTGCGGACATGGGCATCTCCTGGGGGAAATTGACCACCACAAATAATGTTGATGACGGGGATAGTGTTAGGCCATTCAAAACGGAGAAAACGCGCGTGTGTGTGTGTCTTATAAATATATATATATACATATAATATGTATGTATATTATGTATGTATAGTATATGTATGTATGTATGTATGTATGTATGTATGTATGTATGTATGTATGTATGTATGTATGTATGTATGTATGTATGTATGTATGTATGTATGTATGTATGTATGTATGTGTGTGTGTCTGTATGTATTAATGTAATGTAATGTAATGGAATGGAATGTAATGGAATGTATGTCTGTATGTCTGTATGTCTGTATGTCTGTATGTCTGTATGTCTGTATGTCTGTATGTATGTATGTATGTATGTATGTCTGTGTGTGTGTATGTATGTATGTATGTATGTGTGAATCGGAGGTTGTCACTCCGACTATGTATTGATGTTGGTTCTCGAAGGAGTCGTCTTCAATGGCGATGACAAGTGAATAGCGGCTTCCGCATGGCTTTGCTCTTTTCCGGTACTGCAGTGGGTCTTGAGCCAAAGGGGCGAGTTGATGTACCCCCTGGCTGTGGATCTTTGAGGGCTGAATTATGTGGTAGTGTACAATGGTCCGTAGCCTACACTCTATTCGCACCCCCCACGCATGGCCAACTTTGTCGGCCACGCGCAAAGGAGTGTCCCTCGAATTGATCCACTACATCTGCAGCTGTTCGTTTATTGAATTATGGAGAGCTAAAGTCCGTTCAGAACTTCATATCTACATGGCGGCTTGCTACAATCTCTACCCAAAAGATGAAGGTTCTGTTCACGTGCATGTAGACACGACGTAGTCGGTGTCTAGCATTGAGGTTCGTCCAATGTGGCGTAGCCAGCATGGAGTCTCACTCAAGCATGTGAATTAAAGAAATCAAAACACAAAGTTGACTATGGAACTAGAAGTTTACCTCCCCGTCCCTTCGTCGGTTGAGACGTAGACCGCTGTAGAAACTCAGCGTTTCATGCAATGATGTTCAAAAAAAATGTGTGTTTCTAAATTAGCCGGCTCAGAGTCCTCTCAGAAATCATTCAAAATGAAGTAGAGGTAAATCTCGAGCAATGATTGCATCCTCGCATCGCCAGGTTCAATCAGGACCTATGCAGAGGTCAGATCGCTTAATCATCTATATCCCCATCCATAGTATCCCTGCTGGTTCCAGTCTCCGCCACGGTGTGAATAAGATCTTCCACCTTTTCCTTGGTCCTTTCCACCCTTCTTTGGCGGGGTCACTGGAGCTTGTTTTGGCTGAGGAGCGGTTTCAACTGTTCTCCATGTCGCTGACGATGATGCTTTCGCTTTCGACACTCTTCCCAGTGCTGGTGCAGCTTTCGGGGCTGCTTTCGATTTGCCAGCGGCTGGATTGGTACGTTCACGATCAGCAGGAGTCGGGGTATCAGCGATCGCAAGTATGTGAGCTTCAGACAAGTGGATGCCCCACCTTGGTCGTTGATCTTCCCGTTGCTTGATGTGATTGTAGTCATCGATCGCATCATATAGCTTTTGGAGTAGAGGTCGTGGCAATTGTCGGCCATTCTGAAGGATCAGGTGTAAAAGTGATATTCTTCGAAGTGGCGGACGAAGAGCACACACAATGTCAACTGGATTCAGTGTGATTGTGTCTTGAAAGTCAACGTTCCTGAAGAAATAAACAGCATTTACCCTATATGCACCTGCAATGATTCTTCTGACCATGACGTCTTGTCGGTCAAGGGCGTCGCGGGCCGCTGTGGTCTTTCTCATCTCATCCATTGTGGTGTCACGTTTCGACAGCTTCTCCATCTCCTCATCAAAGAATATGTTTTGCAAGTCATCATACGTGTAGCCACATTCGAGGGTATATATGAGAAGTCTTTTGAGTACCACTGCCCCGTAGTATGCATTGACGAATCCCTCTTCTCCGATGTCGTCCTTTTGATTTGGTCGGCCGATCTCTTTGTAGAGCTCTTTCATCTGTTGTGCAGTTGGTTCAATGAGTTCACCATTTTCATCCTCGCCCAGGTAAGGTGTCCTTGAGTCCAGGTCCATCCTGAATTTCTGGTTCTGTTGAAAATGTTTCCATGCCGTCTCGATGTCTCCACAGAAGTTCCGTTGGAATAGTCTGTAGATCCTGACGATATGTAATCCAATCTGCAACAGGAGGATCTTGATGAATTCTGGCTGAGCGTCTCCAATTGTGCAAGGTTCGATCGGCAGGACCTTTGATCCAAACTCAATCCGCTGCATCCACTTGGGGTACTCAATCACTGCATCACGAGCTTCTCCAGCCTCGTACTCTTCAATGTTGATTTCATCGACCGCTTTCTCTTCATCATCATTCTCATCGGTCGGTTTTCCTTCTTGATTGAGAAATTTGTCGACCTCATCTTCTTCTCTGAAGTCTCTTTTCTCATCATTGATGTCGCCCTTCTTCGAGGCTTGATCATCATCTCCTTCTTCTGGTTGAGTTTCTTGTTCTGGACTCTTCATGGTGACATCATCATCATCTGGCATCACCTCGTCGTCATCATCATCACCTGTCAAATCGATCTTCACCTCCTCCCATGCTTTCTTGACATGGTCTTTGAGATCTTCTTCTCGATGATGTGATTCGGCCTTTGGTACTGTAGCCACGGTGATCTTGATTCGTTTCCTCCATCCATGACTCACCAAAAATCCTTTGCACATCACACAAATCGATAATGGCGCAGGGGTCTCCATCAGACATGCGGGGCATAGTCGATGGTCCTCTTTGCTAGGATGATGAGTGACTGCCAATAATGAAATTGCATCATTCCAATCCGGATGTCCAGGGAACAATCTGTGAGTATGACTGAAGTGACCGGTCCTGATATCGACAAGTTTTCGAAGTTCGTCTAGATCGGGTGATGATTCTTCAGGCACAATGTTTCCAATGAGCTTGTCAAATCGTTCAATGGTGGCCACCCTCTTCGCGCCTTGCACAGAAAGAACAAGTTGATCTCTTCCCTTCGTGATCATGAGACGGTAGTAGTCCTTTTCTCTCCAGTCGTAATACCAAACCGTGTCGAATGATTCGAATGGAATTGTTTCTTGGACCAAAATGTGTCCGTCTGCTGATAATCGAGGGGAGAACTTGGCGATGGAATCATACGTGATGTAGATGTAGACAAGATCAGTTTGATCAATCTTCCTGAATCTCAGCACCATTTGACTTCTCACATCCCACGGCGCGAACGGCACGAAGAACGTATTGATGCGGTCGCCTCCTCTTCCTGGACGTAGTCCTTCTCTGAAGATTTGAGCGATGTTGTCAAATGTGGTGCAATGAAATCCTCCTCCAAGAGTGTATCCTACTCCAGGGTTCATCTGATATGAAGTCTTCTTGTCTTCAATGTGCACACCGCCTTGAACTCTTGAATGCGCCATAGGGGCACGGATTGCCACCGGCCATCTCTCGATCTGATGTGCCGATCTCCATCCGCAGTGTTTGTCGATCAAGTCTAGAGGTCAATCCATCATTGAAGTTGTTCATGATGTGTTCCAACTCACCTTTCGTGACCTTGAGTCCTAGCACTTGTGCTCGGATTCTCTTCGTTTGCTTGTACTCAGTGAAGATCACTCTCTGGAAGTTGTTCCACCTCTCAACAAGTATCGGGTAGTTGACGTAGGCCGTTCCAGCCAAAGTATGTTGGTCTTTCCAAATGGCATCGTACTTCAAGATCGACTCAACATTGACCCAACCTGCCTCGTCGCATGGTAGTCCACGGTGATTTCGATTGTCTCTGACGCAACCCACGGAGTGGCGTAGCGCTGCATTGAATCTTTTTGACAATTCAACTATCCATGGCGGATTTTCCCACTTGTTGCCCATCCACTCATTCTCGCCATATCGATGCACCTTGCACCAGCCCATTCCAAGATATTCTTCTCCGTTGATGCGGGCAAGTTGAAGTTTACCGATGTTGTGGCCGTGTGTGAATGGTTGGATGTACTTGAAATTCCAGTTGTTTCCATGTTGTTTTCTTTCTTCAGTAAGCCATTTTACATAAGCATCATGATCAAGGGGGTTCCAAGCGTTCAGCTCTTCAATGGTCGGCAAAACAGGTGGAGATTCCTCAGCCGCACGCTCAATCAGCAAGTCAAGCTCATGACGATTCTTCACACCTCGGCTAATTGGGTTGACTTCGACACCATTCACTAAGTATTGTCCTCCTTCTTCACGATCACCAATGTCGTACATAAAGGCTGACTGACTGTAGAAGCACTTGGTCACTTCCTCTTTCTCAGTGAATCTGGTTCTTCCCCAACGCTTTCCTCGTGGCATGACGTTCTTTGGGAGCTTGTCTTTTCTGCCTCTGGTTGCAGCTTTGGATCTTTCGGATGATGATGGGATTTGGACTTCTGATCCATGATCAGCCTCATGCGCCATATGGTGTCCTTCATGTTCTCATCATCTGGTGTAGTACATTCGTCAATGCCATGTCTTCCACCACAAATGAAACAATATTGAACATCCAATGCATCTGAAATCAGCTTCTCAAAACGATCACGGATGTCACGCACCTCGGTTCGGCGCTTCTTCGCTTCTGAAGGTTGTCCCCCCATGCCATCTTCCTCCTCCTCAATCTCGATGTCACCAGCTCCGGCATCGGTTTCTCCTGAAGTTTGTTCTGCTCGAGGGCCCCGCGCCGTAGGCGTCGTGGTCTCCTCATCAGGTTCATCAACTTCATCCACCTCTTCATCGCTTGATGAGACC